TCTTCCTGTGCACCAGGAAGGTGCTGTTGGGCCCGGGCGTGCCGTCGCCCTCCACGGTGTAGCTGTAGTTACAGTCGTCCTCCTCGTCCCGGAAGGAGCAGTGCTCCACCACCTCCTCCGCTGCACCCACAGGCAGTCAGCAGGCGCCCCTCGGCCCCCGGGCCCGCCCCCACCCAGGGTCCCTGCCCCCAGGGCCGGAGGCATCTCCCTGGGGAAGGACTCGAGTCCCCTGCACAGAGATGGGGTCCTGCCCTGACCAGGAGCATCAAAATCTGCAAATCTGCGCCCCCACCTCCTCATCCGGCGCCTCACCTGGGAGCTGGGCTTCTGGGAATGTGTCTGACCCCAAGGAGAGGATGCTGTGGCCCTGCATGGCCTGGTACACATCCCTGCTGTGCTCACGCCCCTGCCCCAGCCGGTGCCCCCTCCCCACACTCTTGGTCCCTAATCAGCTGTGCCCGTGGCCCAGGTCTATGTGCCTCCTGCCTGGATGCCGTGACCCCTCCCAGGTCTGGAACCCTTATCTGGACTGGGCAGCCTCAGCCTCAGTTTTATATATATATATTTACATATATTTCAATTGCTTTCCGAGAGGAAGGGAGAGGGAGAGAGAGAAACGTCAATGATGAGAGAGAAGCATTGATTGGCCGCCTCCTGCAAGCCCTACACTGGGGATCGAGCTCACAACCAGGGCATGTGCCCTTGACTGGAATCGAACCTGGGACCCGTCAAGTCCACAGGCGACGCTCTATCCACTGAGCCAGACCGGCTAGGGCTGCGCAGCCTCCATTTGGATTAGGAGGCCTCTGCCCAGCTCTGTACCCCTGTCCAGATAAGTGACACCTCCTACCCCACTGAAGGCCCCGCCCTAGGCTCTCAGCACCCCCGATCCTCGGCCCCGGTCCCTTACCGTTCTTCAGCTCATCCACCATCTTGACCTTGAAGCCGCACTCCTCGCAGGTGCGCCCCCTCTTCTCACCCGTGCCCCAGGCCTGGCACTGCACGCAGGAGCGCAGGTCCTCGCAGAGGCCCAGGCGGACCTGGTGGGCGGGGAGGGGCCGATGAACACTGTGCCGGGCAGGCCTCTGCCGGGCCCCCTCCTCCAGCCTCGCACCCTCGCCCGGCTCCCACAGCACCGGGCTCAGCCCCTCCTGCCCACCCTGCCCTGTGCCCAGGGTCCCCACGCCCACCCCCCAGCCATCCTGGCCTCACCGCCGAGTAGTTGATCTCGCAGGTGGTGTCTGTGTAGAGGGACCGCTGGTCACAGTGGCACCGGCCACACTCGCAGCGGCCACGCCCATTGCAGATGCCCTGAGGCGAGAGGAGGCACCGGTGAGCCCTCTGCACCCCTATCCCTGCCCGAGAGGGTGGGTGGTCCTGACCGGACCCCCTCTGCCGCCCCACACTGCCTGCCCAGGCCCAGGCCTACCCCATTGCTGTCGATGCAGGTGGCATTGCTGAGCGGGCAGTCACAGCTCAAGCCTGTCCAGCCAGGCTCGCACTCACACCGGCCCATGGAGCAGCGTCCCCGGTCTGCAGAGAGGAGGCGGGGAGAGCCCATTCATACCTGCAGTCCTGGTTGCCCACCTGCCGGGGAGGGCCTGGGGGAGCTGAGCTCGGGGGTAGAGCCATCTCTTCCTCACTTTCTTCGAAAATCTTCCCTCCATCTGTTCCCCTCCATCCCACCTTCCACTTTCCACCCTGCAGCCCGAGTGGCCACCCCAAAACACAAATCCAACCGTGTGGCTCCCCGGTTTAAGAACCTCTGTTGAGTCTTGGCCAAGGCAATCAGGTAAGAAAAGGAAATAAAACATATCAGTATTGGGAAGTAGTAAATAAAACTGTCATGACTTCCAAGTGTCAGGAACCTGTCACCAAATATCGAGTGTACAGATAAATTATTAGATCTCATTAGCGAGCTGAGCAAGGTGCCGGCTACGAGGTGACAAACAAAGAGCTAGAAAGTGAAAACAAAACCTCCCGCGCCTCCTTGCCCTCAGGATGAAGTCCAGCCTCCGCGGGAGGAGGCAGCCGATCAACGAGTCTCTCTCATCGTTGATGTTTGTCTCTCTCTCCTCTTCTCCCTGCCTCTCTGAAATCAATAAGAATATTTTAAAAATATATTTAAAAATATATATGTGTACAGATATTAAAGAAGGAAAGCATTTGGACTAGACTAGACCTGGGCCCACCTTGCGCTCTGGCCCTGCCTCCTTCCCCGCAGCGCCCCCCTCCCCCCTCCCTCCCAGCTCTGCCCTCCTCCAGATGAACTGTTCCCCCTTCGTTTCCCTGAACGCTCTCTGGGATGGACGGCGGGTGGGAGAAGAGAGATGTCGGGCAATGATTTTTGATGTGGGTTTATTTTCTGGTGTCAGGGGAACTCTATTAACAGCACAGCAGGACAAAACAAAGGCTGAGTAAAACCACATCAGATATTATCATTGGAGATT